TGCACACGTTAGTCATTTGTTGGATGAGGTACCATATCTCTATGGAATTATCTGTACAGAATGATGCTGCCTGATCAGGATGGAGCTAAGACAAAGGCACTTCGTTACATAGGAGATGTGTAACAATACAGGGGAAGAAATGGCAATGATATTATGATTAAAATGAAACAATTGTAGCAGCTGACAATGGTGATGAGATGTGCTACAGCTACTAGGATGGAAAGTAACTAACTGCAAACTGATTCCCATTCATGTGTTACAATCTTGGAACAATCTGAAATTCAATTTCCATTTTAAAAAAAAAAAGTTTTAATACTGTTGTAGGTTGCCCTTAACAAAAAATTACAATATTAGTAGTGTCATGCTCAGAAACGAGTAGAAGTGTGTGTTGGGGGGGGGGGGGGCGGCGGGGTGGTTGTATTTCGGCTGCAAAGGTGTCATACATGCACATGTGTAATTTTAGGTGAGGCTATATAATAATAATAATCAGTCCAAAAGTGAGTGGAGAAGAGGTGTATTGTTAGGGTTTGCATACATTTAAATACTACTGCTACTAGTACTACTACTACTACTACTAATAATAATAATAATAATAATAATAATCAGATCAAAAGTGAGCAAAGAAATTTAATGTCAAGGTTTACATATGCTTTAAATACTATTGTTACTGCTGTTACTACTAATACTAATAATAAAATAATAATAATCAAAAGTGAGCAATAATGTTAGGGTTTATATATACTTTAAATACTACTAATAATAATAATAATATTAATAGTAATAAGCCCAAAAGGGACCAAAGAGAAATTTAATGTTAGGGTTTACATATGCTTTAAATTCTATTACTACTACTACTAATAATAATAATAATAATCAGCCCAAAAAGGAGTAAAGAAATTTAATTTCAAGGTTTACATATGCTTTAAATACTAGTGTTACTGCTGTTACTACTAATATTAATAATCTATAAACTATTACTACTACTAATATTATTATTATTAATAATAATCATCATCCCAAAGAGAGCAAAGAGAAATTTAATTTTAGGGTTTACATATGCTTTAAATACTATTACTACTACTAATAATAATACATTATTATTGTATTATTATTATTGTATTTATTTCTACATTCTTATGCAACTTTAGCTAATTTTCACACCCATAATCACTAATAAAGTTAGTTAATTTTGGGTAAGAAATGGAAGACCCTAAAGTGAGCAAGACACTTGGAGACCCATTTACAGCCCACAAGCCTGCTAGCCATGAGATGATGTCCTTCTTGACAGTTGCCTCATTTGCAAGGCTCTGAAATAACTGTGCTGGGAATGAGGTAATTGACAACAAGTGGTTAATCCCATGCTTTAAGCGTTGTAAACACTAACCCTAAACAACCTCATTAACTACAAAGGTAAAAATAAAAAAAAATATTAATTATCAGCCTGGATATCAATAAAATGTATTGCATACTCTTCAGATCAGGGTCCCTTACAAATATTATGGTAAACCCTATTTTTTTTATTACGTTCTAATCTTAATTATTTCAAACGAAATCTGCATTTCCTTTTTAGAATAAAAATACAACCAGTCCAGAGAGCACTAAAAGACTGTGCCATACATGACACAGGAGGGCAGGGAATAATAGCGCCATGCAGAATATAGAGCTTTGCTGGAGGAAATCGGCGATTGTTTCTTCAACATATGTTCTGTGATTGCTGCTGAGGATCAGGTAATGAGGAGATAGCGCCTGTTCACAGTATTCTGTCCTTTCTGTGGCACATTGCCCATTTGTGACTAGAAATCTCATAATATCCACCAGGTTCTAAAGACCTGGGCGACCAACCATACCTTTGTGAATCTGATACTTGTAGAAGGCAGCAATTAAAGTATTAACTAAGATCCATCTGCTGCTCAGCTCTTGTAGCCGGCCCTTTCCTTTGTCTGCTGCTGAGCCAAAAAGGCCAGAAAACTAGTGAGACATAAAAGGGAGCTGTTAAAGAAAGACACCTCTTTGTGGTGGGCCCTTCTCAAACAACCAAGGTTGCTTGCTGCCTTTCCTATTATTCTCCACTACTCCAAACCCCAAGAGCTAGCAATTCAGCTTCTGGGCAGGAGCTCAATATAGCAAGCCCGGCTGAACTATATATAGGGATAGGAAATATTCTATACACAGTCCAGTCCCTTAAGATAGAATTCTAATAATAATGATGATAATAATAGAAAAATATTATTATTTCTACTATTATATTCTGTAGGTAAACACAGATATACATCTAATGTATATTTAAAATTATATATTTTATGTGCACGTATTTGTCAGAAACACAGAATGTGCCTTTTTTTTTTTTGGAAGAGGCCAACTATCTGAGTATTGGTGTTTATTTGACTTACAATATTGCTTATTATTATTATTATTACTACTACTACTACTACTAATAATAATAATAATGTAAATGAATAGGCTGTGATCTGCTGTTATTAATAACACATACATATGTGAATGTGCCTCTTTTGGGAAAAGGCCCACTATCTGAGTATTGGTGTTTATTGATGATGATTATTACTATTGGAAATTAATATGGCTGTGATGGGCTATTATTAATAACACACACATAAATATGTAAATTTGCCACTTTTGGAAAAGAAGGTCCACTGGGTATTGGTGTTTATTTGACTTACAATCTTTATTATTATTACTAAGAATAATTATTAATAATAATGATAATTATTTTTTAATGTAAATGAATGTAGCTGGGATGTGGCTGTTATTAATAACACACACATAAATATGTGAATTTGCCTCTTTTGGAAAATATGGCTCACTCTCTGGTGTTTGACTTACAATCTTGATTATTATTAAGAATAATTATTATTAATAATAAAACTTTTTTATGTAAATGAATGTAGCTGTGATGTGGCTATTATTAGTAACACATACAAAAATATATGAATTTGCCTCTTTTGAAAAAAAAAAAAAAAGGCCACTATCTGAGTATTGGTGTTCATTTGACTTACAATCTTGTTTATTATTATTATTATTATTATTATTATTATTATTATTATTATTAATAATAATAAAAATACTTTTGTTTAATGTAAATGAATGTAGCTGTGATGGACTGTTATTAATAACACACACATAAATATATGAATTTGCCTCTTTTGAAAAAAAAAAAAAGGCCCACTATCTGAGTATTGGTGTTTATTTTACTTACAATCTTGATTATTATTGTTAATAATAATAATAATAATACTTTTTTAATGTAAATGAATGTAGCTGTGATGGGCTGTTATTAAAAGCACACACATAAATATGTGAATTTGTCTCTTTTGGAAAAAAAAATCTTGATTATTATTATTAGTATTATTATTATTATTATTATTATTATTATTATTATTAATAATAACTTTTTTTAAAGTAAATGAATGTAGCTGTGATGTGGCTATTATTAATACCACACAGATACACATATATATATATATATATACACACACACATGTATACATGTGTGATTGAATTTTATATTTTTTAGAATTTTGAGAAAAGTCTCAGCTTTCTGAGGGTTTGGTTTCTGTTAATGTTTTCACTCACAGTCTTAAATGATCTCTGAGCAGCACTTGGTAGTCTGTTGAAGCAGGCTAGCAGCTGCACAGGACAGGCATTGCACCCAAGGCTCCAGCCAACCTGCAATGTGTATTGTAGGTTAACAGATTCCCCTGGCCGGATCTCACACACTGCTCAACAAAGAGCTGCCTTGGCTGCAGCAGAGGGAACTCTCAGAGCTGCGGGATTTCAATGAAACTTTTCAGCCACTATAGAGCTGGGCTAAATGGCAGCAGCCTCTTTGTGAGATCAGAGCTATGATTAGGGCAGGCAATCTAGCACTTGCAATCCTTCAATGACTCCATAACAGAGTGGAATTATTTGATATGAGACATGTAAGTGTTGTGAAGTGGACACTTTCTCTTTTTCCCAGGGATGTGATCTCCACTTTCAGAAAAACTCCTGGTGCCTGCATTGGCGTTATTATGTCTGTGACAGAAGTCAGATGGAAGACAGTGAGATGGCACAGGTTCCTGATTGCTCTCCATGAGAGGGGCAGGTAGGTAGTGTTAACATATAGGTGTATAGAAGGTCAGAGAATGCAGACACACCAGGAGAAATCCACTCTAAGGAGGTTTGTTTGACAAATAGAGAGCGCCACCCTCCCTACCTTTTCCTGATTTAGCCCTGTGCTTTCTGGATGATGTCATGCCAAAGCCAGGAGGAACATTGATCTGAGATCAGTGCTGGCTCTTGAGTGTGCTGAACAGATTGAGCAGAAAGGAAACAAGACTCCCCCTCCCCCTTCTCTGGGCGGGTGACTACTAATCGCCAATAAAAGTAGCTTATGCTCCCCCCTTTAACAAAAAAAAAAAAAAAAAAGGAAAACTTTTTCTGTTGACTGCTGGAAACGAATTGAGCAATTATCTAGTTTACCTTCTCCTCTTGGAAGTTAACGATTGGCGAGATCTTTACTGCGTTATTGACACAACACATCCCATTGAGCAGGCCTGCTAGCAATAAGTAGTGATTGCTTGGGTGTCATTGCTGCTCCATGTAATCTGGAATGGATTGGCACCTGTCCACTGGGCTGCTTGTGGTTGGATTGTACAGCACCATGATGATGAGGAGGACGATGATGATAATCACTGCCCCACTCCCTGCGAATCACTGACAAGAAGGGAAGGTGGCGTCTTGAGAAGAAGACATCTCCTTCAGCAAGCCAAGACATGGACAATAGTGTACAGCACAGAGCTACTAAAATCCTAGCCAGAGAACATCTTTCCAGCAGAGTCAACATGATCAGCACTTCCAAGCCGCTGGCTTTTTCCATTGAGAGGATAATGTCAAGGACTCCAGAGCCCAAATGTCTGCCTGTACCCAGTTTACTGCAGAGCTCAATGCACAAGGGGGAGCAGAAGCAAGCGCTCCATGTCAGCTCGTCCTCCATGCCCTGCATGATCCCCTTTGTACCTGTCACCTATGACCATTGTCCCAAGCTTGGCATCACTGGTGCTGAACTGAGGAAGAGCCACCAAGACTCCTCATCCTCCTTCAGCTGCAATGAGCTGCTAAATTGTGCTGTGACTTTAAAGGGGGATTTTCCCCGAGATGCCTTCCCCCTTCCCCAATACAAACTGGTCCGGCCTCGAGTGGTCAATCACTCTTCCTTCCATGCCATGGGGGCAGCTCTGTGCTACTTCAACAGAGGCGATGCTCCGTGCCACCCCGCTGCCAGTATAAACATCCACCCTGTCGCCTCCTATTTCCTGGGCTCCCAGCTGCACCAGTCTCCCAAGTCCTACCTGGCAGAGAGGAACAAGCTGGTGGTCCCGTCTGTGGAGAAGTACCCATCGGGGGTCTCCTTCAAGGATCTGTCTCCAGCCCAGTTTCAGCACTACATGAAGGAGAGCGCACACTCCCTCTCCGACAAGATCGCCTATAAATCGGCCGCCAAGTACGCCAGCTCTTCCCCGAGCAGCAAGCCAAAAGTTTTCACTTGCGAAGTTTGCGGAAAGGCAAGTACATAGGAGCCGTGAGCGCCCACCATCCCTGTTCTCCCAGCACCCTCCTCCTGCCTTACACATGTCTGTCTTTATCTCCTATTCAAGGTGTTCAATGCTCACTACAACTTAACCCGGCACATGCCGGTACACACCGGGGCCAGACCGTTCGTCTGCAAAATCTGCGGAAAGGGCTTTCGACAGGCTAGTACGCTGTGCCGTCACAAGATCATCCACACACAGGTAAGCGGCTATTGGGAAGAGATGGGGAAAGAGAGGAAGAGAGAATATGTGGATGGGAGAAAGACAATAGATAGGGGACAGCTAGTAAGATAGGACAGTTACAGAAAGAAAGAAAGAAAGAAAGATAGATGACAACTAGGGAAAGATGGAACAATACAGAGGAAAACTACAGAAAGAAAGTGAGGACAACTAGAGGAAGAAAGAAAGGACAACTAAAGAAAGAAAGGACAACTAAAGAAAGAAAGATATAGAGGACAACTAGAGACAAATCGTAAGAGAAAAGAAAGAAAAAAAGAAAGAAAGAAATGACAACCAGAGAAAGATAGAAATAGATAAGTAAGAAAGAAAGAAAGAAAGAAAAAGAACGAACGAACGAAATGACAACCAGAGAAAGATAGAAAGAAAGAAAAAAATAAGATAAGAAAGAAAGAAAGAAAGAGAGAGAAATAGAGGACAAGAGAAAGAAATAGAGGACAACCAGAGAAAATAGAAAGAGAAAAATAATAATAAAAAGAAAGAAATAGAGAACAACCAGAGAAACATAGAAAGAGAATAATAATAATAAAATAAATAAATGGACAACCAGAGAAGCATAGAAATAGATGACAACTAAAGATAGAAAGAAGTAGAAGATAAGCAGCGAAAGACAGAAATAGATGTCAGCTAGAAAAAGATAGAGAGAAAAAGGAAACGAGACAAACGGGTATATAAAAGGTACAGCGAACATGGGATAGAAAACAAACCTAGAGAACAATGATACGATATAAAATAAAAGATATAGAGGTGAGATAAAAAATGAAAGAAGGATATAACATATAGGACAGATAGATATAGAAATAATATAGAGAGCAGGTGGTAGTAGAGATGTAAAAGAAAAGATACAGCGAACATTGGATAGAAAAAAAAAAATCCCACAGAAAAAAAAACAAAACAAAAAACACAGAGGGCAGAGAGAAGAGGTATAAAATAAATCACATAGAGATGAGATAAATGAAGACAATAGACAACAGATGTATGGGAAAATAAGTAAATCTATAAAGTAAAGAAAGTAAAAGATAGGACATAATTAGAGAACAGATGAAATATACACTAAAAGTTGTAGAGAACAGTTAAAAAAATACATAAATAAAAAAGGAGTGGAAGATAAGAAAGGAAATGTAAAGTGTGTCTCTGATATTATGTGGCACTACATTGATCTGAATTGTCCTCCTTGTATTTGATCCCGCACAGGAGAAGCCACATAAGTGTAGCCAATGCGGCAAAGCTTTCAACAGGAGCTCCACGCTGAACACGCACACGAGGATCCACGCAGGATACAAGCCTTTCGTCTGTGAATTCTGTGGCAAGGGCTTCCACCAAAAAGGTACAGTTATCAGAATGTCCACCGACATCTCCATTGTAGCCTGTGTGCTGTCATTTCCCTACCTCATCTGTACTCCTGACATTTGGATGTGATGGTGCTCTTGAAGTAACAATTTTAGGAAATTAGGATGAAGGGGAAAATAGGCAGGTTCAGAATTGGAAAATGATCACTTGAGTTGTGCAGCTGCTGATAAGTGCTTGTGTTCATTGCAGGTAATTACAAGAACCACAAGCTCACTCACAGCGGGGAGAAGCAGTTCAAGTGCAATATCTGTAACAAGGCATTTCATCAGATCTACAACCTGACCTTCCACATGCACACCCACAATGACAAGAAACCCTTCACCTGCCCCACCTGCGGCAAAGGATTCTGCAGGAACTTCGACCTGAAGAAACATGTGCGAAAACTGCATGATAGCAACACTGGAGGGGCCCCTGGGTCAAGTCCAGCTGGGCAGGAGGAGTTGGGAAATCATCCCAGGGACCAGCCTTCCAGAAACCAGAGCCCCAGCCTGCAAAAGGGCATTTACTGACACTTACCTGTGGACACCTTTACCCCCATCTCACTGAACATTTTAATGCACATTCTCTTAAAGAAGAAAAAGATTTAAAATCCAAGTGGACATCTTTGGATCTGAGGTTGGTCTAGGGGCAGTGGAGGGGCTGCCTCTATGGGGAGGGGGCAATCACATGCCAAAAGGGGTTATGGGAAAGAATACAGGGGTAGCCATGGTGCTTCAAGCAGCTTTATCCTCCAAGAACAGGGTTTCCCAGCCTCAGTCTCAAGTCCCCCCCAACAGGTCATGTTTTCAGGATTGTCTTCACCTTGCACAGGCACTTAAAATCATTGTCAATGGCTTGGTATTCATGACAGATTCTATTTCTAGGAGGCAATTCTAAAAACGTGACCTGTTGGGGGGTACTTAAGGACTGAGGTTGGGGACCACTGTCCTACAGGATCGCTTCTGGAAAACTACTGGAATCTGTGAAAATAGTTGTTTACAGGGGCTGAAGGCGGCAATGATACTTACAGGTTCTACTTTAGTCACCTTATTGAGTAATAGGCCACCCTGATGAGGACTCTTTTGCCCCCCTTTTCACACCCCCGGTCCTATGTGCTTTGGAATAAAACGTTTACACTGGTTGCTGTCCTGGGGAATGGTTGGTTCCTACCAACTTTTTGCATGCACCTAATATTATTTGAGTATTATGCTCTAATTATTTCTTCAGCAGTTTATTATTGAACTTTTTTGGTGTGTTTTGTAAAGGTTCTATATTGCTGTCATCACAGCTTTGCAGAGTTGAACAGATACTGATTCTGTATATTTGACGTATTTATTTGGATATGTATTATCCTTTAAGGAATGCTGCGCCAATTTATTAATTCTATTTATTGTAAATATATACATACATAAAGGTTTATATCTGTTGTGTGTGTCCGATGCCATCCTATTTTTTTTTTTTTACTGTTGTTTGGGGTGCAGAGTAACTTCTATATTGATAGAGCGTTTAAACATATGTATAAGTTTTATTCTTGCACGTGAAAAATAAAACGGTTTCATTGTGGTTATTAATCAATGGGGAAGTTTCTGTTTGTGGATTGGATTTCCTGAGGAAATACAAGTGCTAGGCTGATTCCTTCAACGTATCATTCATTTATCTTTATTGGGAACCTGAGATATAGGTGAAAATAAATATACAATTGATGCCAGGTCCTTGAATTGGAGGAAGTGTTAATCAGCAATCTGCTACACTCTATTTTTCTTGCCAAAACACTGAAACAAGTGACATCAATTAAGAAGGGTAATTAGTAGGGATTTATCAAAGGCTGTCTGTTATTCTATTAGCTTGCCCCCTTGTTTGGTGCCAGCAGCGCCTTATAACTTCTTTACACTGGATTGGGAAAGGCAGGAGAGTTTATACTACTGTATTGTAATTATTGACAGCTGGAGATCTACTACCAACTAGATGGCCATGCACTGTACAATCTGATTGTACAATCTCCTTAGGATCTGCCGTCAACTATATAGTGCAAGGACCTGTCAGATTTGTTTGGGTTTATCCTTATATTACATAGTTTTGGTAAATCTAAAGGAGACTGAATAGTTTGTACAGTATGTAGTCCTTTATGGACATCAGCCATGCTACACACTAGAACAGGGTTTCTCAACTAGGGTTTCTCCAGAGGGTTCCTTGAGCAATGACACATTTCTGACTTTCAGATACATTTCTAATACCAATGCTCTTTTTAGCTATCTGTAAGGGGGTAATTCTTCCCAATGACACAAGTGTTAGGAGCAGTCTTCCCACTGACCATCACATTATTGTATCATGAGTTTTAGACATAGTAATTTTTTGCAGGGGTTCCCTGAGACCAGAAAGTTATTTCAGGGGTTCCTCTGTGTTGAAAAGGTTGAGAAAGGCTGCAGTAGGCGTTTATTGCAGAATAGGTGTTTATTGAAGTCTAGAGCTCTTGTCCCTGATGACACATTACATTATACAGAGTTGAATGTCATCATAGTCTAGAATAGACTACTTATATCCAGCAGACAGATATAGACAGGCGTAGCTGATGATCTCACTCGACATCTGTACCTTCTCACCACCCTCACAGCTATCGATTTGATTACCTATAATTCACACACCGACCAGATCCTGCCATCAGATCTATTGCTGCAACTTTGTACAGAACTCTACTGCATGTTTCTATCCTCTATGCGTTTAAGAACTCTGAATGATGGATTGTTTTTATTAATGGCCATATATAGTTGTTTTTTTTTTTTGTATGATGATGATTATTATTACAATTATTTAAATTATTTCCAAAAAGACTTGACAGGTCTGGTACAACTTTAGAAAATAAAGCTGAAGTTTAGCTTCCTCACAGGCATCATTTAAATAATGCAATAATCTCAGTGTGCAGGCAGCAATAAAACTTGCAAGTAGAAGATTGTAGAGGCAGAAAATTGAAATGGAGATACATGTAGGAAAAATACTAGGATTATTGGGCGGATTTACTAAGGGTGTTGAGAGTATTCACATAAATAGATTGTGTGAATGATGCCTTCAATTATCCGATCATGTGCAGATGAAATAAGTAGGCTGAAAGTTGTTGGTTTTTTTTTTTTTCGTTACATGATTGCATAATTATATATATATATATATATATATACACAAATACATACGCACACACACACATATATATATATATATACACACTAATTATACAGAGATAGATAGTATGGTAAAAAGATTCTCCAGCGTTTTTTTAGAGCCCCAGAGCACGAGGATCAAGCGAAGATGTACTATATGATATGGTAGATGTGAAATGTAAAAATATGACTTTTTGCACAGCTGTATTGATGAAACCTCAATAATTTTGCTGCACACAAACACCAGCTGTATATTCGATGAGGCCCTATTATTGATCAATATGCTGTAGAGCTATGGATAAAAGAAAATGTGAAACAATTCGTTGTATTTGTATTGTTATATTTGATGTGCTACTGATAACAACAAGGCGATCTCCTCTCTAGAGTTAGCAGTTGTTTTTCTTCATTTTTCTGCCAAACTTGTACTAAGGACCAATGATTGCCTGAATGGCTGAGCAAGTTGTGTGTGTGGGCTCTGGCATGGCACGGGTTAAAGGCAGGGTGAGCCACCAGTGTGGAACAGACGGGCTCAGCAGACAGGGACAAAGGGAGGAATATGATCACACATGAAATGGAGACAAAAAAAGGAGAGAGAGATCGTTGCTAATTGCCAATTAATGATGAAGGACTCATTTCCCTCATTGGAGTTTGCTTTAAACCGCTCCAGCTATTAATGTGGGTTTTCTTTCTCCGGCAATTGTCCTTTTTGTGTTCCCCCCACCTGTTCTTAAAACGCACAGCTGGATGTGACTTGTACTTTTCTTCAGGAACGGTGCTCACTTTAATTGGCATAGCCCCAGTCACTGGAGACTGCTTGTGGTCATCACCCCATCATCCCTGCACCTATGGGACTCTCCACTACTGCACTCAGCACCATTCCCACAAGGCGTGTGCCCCTGTAGGGGTGTATATATATATATATATATATATATATATATATATATATATATCTATATCATGGCGATATCTATATATAGATGTATACAAAGGTACAGAAACACACCTGGGAATTAGGCACACACTTTAGCAGGGCGAACATTGTGGTGCTGGAGAGTCCCATAGGTGCACTGCTAATGGGAGATGACCATAGGCAGACTGGGCTATGCCAATAAAGCCAGAGCTGTTCCTGGAGAGAAGTCATATCCAGGTGTGCGATATATATAGATATCAATGTCTACTCGTGTGTGTCTGTGCCTATATATATATATATATATATATATATATATATATATACAACGATATAAATTGCACACCCAAACACTAGCTCATAAATCCAGATATGTGAATTTTACTAGTGGGCAACCTCATACATATATAATACTGATATATATATATATATATATATATATATATATATATATAAATTTATTTATTTACAAATAAATCTCAAGTGTTTTAAGGTTTAATTTATCTCCCCCTTCATGTTAAGAACACACAAAGAGATACAATATTTTTTTCCATTGGTTACATCTTCTACAGCTCATTTTGCATCAATCCTACAGCTTTGCGAGAATTAAAGCTAAAAATGCTGAAATGCTGAACATTTCTAGCAGAAGAGGGTACACACCAGCGACATTGCAGTTTTATCAGGCCTGTCTATGTAATGGGTGTGTGCGGCATTCCAGAGTCAGGCAGGCAATGTAGAAAATGTTTTGCTTGTAAAAAGGAGTTTTCATTCTAGTCGCTGGCCTTATACCTTGACAGTTTATTGTAGGCACAAAAAAAGAAAGTTTTCTCCTATGCACAGATGTGTACACTCACTTGAATGTGCCTTGACAATGGCATACATTAAATATATAATGCATATTCTACAACAATGCACAAAAAACGAATAAAGCAGGAAATCCGTCACCTGCGTTTACGAAAGTTTTAAAAAACGCTTGCTGTTTATTATCTGGTGTTTGTACACATAATAGAACGAAGCCAAGAACTCATGGGTTAAACTCTACTCAAGACACACAATAGACTCACCTTACGTGGGGGGAAAATTATATATATATATATATATATATATATATATATATATATATAAACACACACACATATATATGAAAAAAAATCTATAGGTTAACCACTGTTGCTACCATATAAAAATATCCTCCCCTTTTAATATGATACATTTATGTTTTCTGCCTTTGGCTCATTGGCAGCTTATGTGAAGCACTGCATTTAAAAAAGAAAATCAAAATAAACCAAATAACCATAAAACACACACATCACATTAGGTGACCAACATACACATAAGTATGAGCTCATTGCCCTAGTCAGGATACAATGGGAATTTCTGGATTGAAACGGTCACTTACACTACCTGGACACGTCAATTTAATACAGGGCTATATTATGTTTTTATTTAATATAACTGTAGTTATACATTCCAA